GCTTTGGGTCTTGCTATTTTATCACAGCAATAGAAACCTTAAGACAGATTGTCTACATGGCCAACAGCATATGAAAAAAACTGGTGACTGTGACCTCTGAAGCTAAACTATAAAAGATACTCTAGTTTCTACCCTGGGCTCTTTTGGGGAAGCCAGCTGCCATGTCATGAGAGTTCCCAAGCAGTCTCGTGGGGAGACTCAGCTGGCAAGGAGTAAGGTCTCTAGCCAGTGAGAATGAGCCATCCTGAAAGGATATTAACTGGATGATCCTACCTTATAGAAAGCAGCCTCATGACAACCTTCAGCCAGAATCACCCAACCAAGCAGCCCTTGGATTCATGGATTCTCCAAACTTATCAGAGACAATAAATGTTCCATGTAAGCTGCCATGTTTGGGAGAACTTCATATGCAGCAATAGACCTTTTGCATTTTTTCAAATAGCTCAGGCAAGAATGCAAAGCATTCTGAACACCGGATGTTTGGTAAGAAACTAGTGTGTGTTTATCCTCTCCTCTTAGGTGATGCCGAAATTAAAATAGTACTTATCACCAGGTTGACTTTTCACTCTGTGTCTTCCTTCCTCTCTGTGTCTCAAATGCCTGAAATTCCAGATGTAAAATCCTGTGATTAGCAGGGCTCTCAGCCCTCATTAGAGAAACTTCTTTTCAGCAAACAGAGGGTTAATACAGAGAGCCACCACCGGGCAAAGCACAGAGGGTGGTTGTGGACTGCACAGCCTTACATGAAACATCTGTATCATGCTCTCTTCCCTCAAGGAACATCAAGAAAGAACATGGAAGATGGGGCAGATTATAAGAGCCAGGGCCTGGAAGGACTGCTGAGGACTAATGTCTTCTGGGTATGATGTGGTTGAGGTACCCATGAACTCACAACTCTGCCTTCATGAGGTCAAGCTAGTCAACACTCTACCAGGGATCAGGAAAGGACTCAATAGGCCCCACCCCTAACTGAGGAGCTATTGGCAGTTCATGGGTGCTGGGAGAGGAAGAGTTAGTGTTCTGGTCTCTGGCAAGTTACCCATGCTCAAAGGACAGCCCTAACACTATAGGCACATAGGTGATACACATAGTAGGTATCTTATTTTTCTATTGCTGTGATAAAGCACCAAGACCAAGGCAACTTATAGAAGAAACAGTTTATTTGGGGCTGATGTTTCCAAAATGTTAGGGTCTGCCTGATGGTCAAGTGGAGGCATGATAGCAAGAACAGCTGAGAGCTCATACCTGCAACTATAAAGAAACTATAAACTATACTAGAATGTATTAGAAATGGCACCAGACATTTGAAACCTCAATGCCCACCCTCTAGTGATGCACTTCTTCCATCAAGGCCACAATCTCCAAAGTCTACATTGCTATCAACTGTGGACCAAGTATTCAAATGCCTGAGACTTACGGGGAACATCTCATTCAAAACACCACCATAGGTTTTGAAAAAGGTAAATAACTATAGGGCTAAATTCAGTTCAGCAGAAGAACTGTCTTTTCTTCTGGGAGGACCTGGGTTTGATTTTCCAGCACCCACATGGCAGCTCACCACTGTCTGTGACTCCAGTTCCAGGTGATCTAGTACTCTCTTCTGGCCTCCTCCAGCATCAGACACATACACGATGGGTCAGCATACGTGCAAACACAACACCCATACACTTTTTTAAAGAGATAAACTAAGAAGAGATCATGAAGGTGAGGGAGGGTGTGAGGAGGAGAGGCCTGGGAAGGGATGGTTACGACCACAATTTGCTGCATTATAAAATTATTAAAAACTAAATATTTTAAAAGAAGAGTCTAATTCCCACTCCTGCCCTCTTCTCTCACGCCCACTCCTTCCACCTTGAGTCTCCCCCTCTCCACGGTCTCCCCAGCCCTTTGGCATTCCATCTATCTTCCCTCTTCTCTCTCACTCATTCTCCTGATCCATTTGTTTTCCTGTTTCTTCTTTGAATCCCCTCATCTCGTTTTCTCATTGCCTCTCCCTAGCAGAGCAAAGCAAGGCCCCTTCTGCTGCAACAAGCCTGAGGGTAGAATGAAGCTTGTCTCCTCACCGTGTTTTCCATGCACGTGGTAGACTAGCTAACTTCCTCCATCAGCTTCCTGTCAGATAATGGGATCCCAGACTGCAGCCAGAACCCAGCTACCAATCCCAGCCTCGGACAATAGCAGGTGCCAGGAGGGAGGTGGACTTTGGTACCACTTAGGAAGACAATGATTCTTCAGCATGGCTTGAGATTTGGGGGTATCTTCTTCTCCAGTTTATATCAGGGGTTAAGAAGGTTTTGTTTGTTTGTTTGGTTGGTTGGTTGGTTTTGGGTTTGGTTTTTTGAGACAGAGTTTCTTTGTGTAGCTCTGGCTGTCTTGGAACTTTCTCTTTGTAGACCAGGCTGGACTCAAACTCAGACATCCACCTGCCTCTGCCTCCCAAGTATTGGGATTAAGACCATGCACTGCCACTGCCCAGCTAATTTATTTCACTTTTAAAATGTCTTTATTATTTATTTATTTTATCTTTACTTTTTACTGATTCTTTGTGAGTTTAGCATCATGCACACCAGTCCCACTCATCTCCCCACCCCTTATATCTTTGTCCTTGGAACCTCCCTCCAAAATAAACACACACACACCATCACCGCCACTGCCACCGCCACCACCACCACCACCAACAACAACAACAACAACAACAAAGCACAGAAAACATCTCATCATGGAAGCTGTAGTGCATCACAGTGCCCCCCAAAGTAGATCCCCCTAACTACACATCTTCACTTGCAAAATGTTCATTGCAATGAGTCATTGGTCTGGTTTGAGATTTCTGGCTTCTGTGACACCATCAACCATCAACACTGTATCAATACTCATAGGGCCTCCTCCCAGTTATCCTGTTGTTGCCCTGTGTCATGGAGATCCTACAGCTTTGGATCAGCAGGAATGTTCCTTTCATGTACTCCAAGAATTGAGAAATGATAGAGATTTTGGGGTGAGCCAACTCTGGATCTGGGAGAGTGGGCCCTGCATCTTGCCTGAACAGTATAGCAGAGCTGGTCCTGGTGGTGGGGGCAAGGTGAGCTGAGCACAGGACAGTTGGCCCCACACCTGGATCTGGATCTGGACCTGGACCTGGTGGTAGCTGAGCTGGTCATCCCCTACCTCTCTCTTATCTGCAACACTAGGGCAAAGTCTCCTGCATTGTTCCAGCTAGGCCACTCAGTGCTGCCACCAGCAGGAGGTAGGGCCAGTTCTGCTCTCATGCTTCGGGTGATGGCTCACCTGCACCCACACCTTCAGAGCCAGCTCCCCCATGCTGTCTAGTCATGGTGTGGGGCTTGCCCCTTCTAGTGCAGCAGCTTGTGAGGGGCTGGGCCAGCTCTCCTGCTCTCACACCCTCTGGGCTGGCTCATACACACCTTTGCCTCGAGGGCCAGCTCCATTGTGTTGCCCAGGCAAGGTGCAGGGCCAGTCTCTAGAGTGCTACAGCCAGTGAGATGGCAGGATTAGCTCTCCCACTCTCATGCCTTCTTGGCCAGCTTTCCTAACTACCACAGGTGGAGAGAGAATATGGGAGGGCAGGAGAGCATCACCCTCACACCCATGCTACCTGACAGCAGACAATGGTGGGGCCAGCTCTCCCATGCTCTCGACCTCAGGGCCAGCTCACTTTACCCCATCACCAGGGTCAGCTCTGCTGTGCTGTCCAGGCCAGGGCTCGCTGCTAGCTCTCCCATGGTCATGACCCCTGTGGGCAGCTTTCCCAACTGCCAGAAGAGGTGAAAGGTGGGGAATAGGAGGCAAGGGGAAGGGGAGTCATCTCTGCACCCTTGCTACCCCACAACAGATGAATGGCGGACTCAGCTCTCCCATGCTCGTGCCCTTGGAGCTGGCTCACCCACACCCCTGCCACAGGGCTTGCTCCACTATGCTGCCTAGGCATAGAACAGGGCCCGTTCCCCCAAGTGCTGCCACCGATGAGCAGTATGCCAGCTCTCCTGAGTGCCACAGCCAGTAAGGGGCAGGGCCAGTTCTGCACAGCCCCTGAATATCCACATGGTCCCCTGAAGCTGCCCCTACCAGGGATGTCCCCGTGTTCTCTAGTGGTAACGTGAGCCATGGACATCAACACACCTACCCCTGATGTTGTACAGCCATGCACCCAGACATGGCCATCAGCAGCAGCTTGGGCTCAGACTTCATCATGACCCTAGGTGGTGGGGTTGGCCACTCATACACAAAAGTCTACTCCTCTCCACCCACAAGTCTCCACTTCCATCTCTCTACATAACGCTTGTGATGGTTTGTATATGCTTGGCCCAGGGAGTGGCTCTATTTAGAGATATGGCCTTGTTGGAGTAGGTGTGGCCTTGTTGGAGTAGGTGTGTCACTGTGGGTGTGGGCTTTAAGACCCTACTCCTAGCTGCCTGAAAATAAGTATTCTGTTAGCAGCCTTCAGATGAAGATGTAGAACTCTCAACCCTGCCTGCACCAGGTTGCCTGGATGCTACCATGTTCCTGCCTTGATGATAATGGACTGAACCCGTGAACCTGTGAGCCAGCCCCAGTTAGATGTTGTCCTTATAAGAGTTGCCCTGGTCATGGTGTCTGTTCACAGCATGCTCAAGCTGCTCCACTTCTCTTTCTTTTCCTCTGTCCCCCACGTACTTGTACATTGTAGTGGCTTCTGCTGCAGGCTGGACAGCCCCTCGGTGACAACCTCCAACTGTGCTGTGGCGCATGAGTGTCCACACCTGGCCTGGGCCATCCACAAGAAGACAGGTCTGTGAGCAGCATGGTGGTCTGCAGGTCTTTGTCTTTCTCCTCCCTCTATGTACTGCGTGCTGGTAGGCAGGGATATGGGTGTCTATGGCCTGTCCAGGTTTTGGGGCAGAAGCAGGCCTGTGGGTGTCTTTCCCTGCCTACACCACATGGCATGACAGGACGCAGGTCTCTGTCTTCCTAGTTCCACAATGTGCTGCCTGGATTTGATTTGATTCTTATGTGTCCTAGGCATAAAACAGCTTTGGCCACCAAACTAGGCATCAGGCTAGTATGAGCAAAGGGCAGCCATCTATTCTGCCCCGACTGATATAAGAACACCACCACCAACAAGGTATCTCTGCCCATTGACAAGGGGATCTAAAATTTTTTGTTTGTTTGTTTTTGTTTTAAAGACTTGGCCTTACTATGTAACCCTGACTATCCTGGAGCTCTGTTATGTAGACCAGGCTGACCTTGAACTCACAAGGATCTGCCTGCCCCCATCGTTAACTCTGCCCTGCTTCTATCTCCCAAGAGTGCTGGGATTAAAGGCACACTACAATGGTACACTACAATATTGTTGCTGTAAAATGTTCACACAAAGTAAGAGAACAGAGAAAAAGTAACACTGTCTCCTGTCCTCTCACTCTTGGTTGCTGTAAACCTTCTGAAATGGCTGAGGCTAGGGCTTGGTTGATAGAGGGCTTGCCAAGCTTTCAGGGAGCCCCAACTTTGATCCCAAGCACTATAGAAGTGATATGATGGTGCATACTTGATAATCCCATCACTTGGGAAGTAGAGGCAGTAGGATCAAGAGTTCAGGATATGATGAATTCAAGGCCAGCCTAGGCAACATGGGATGCTAAGAAAAATAAGAACAACAAAAACCAGAGGCAAGCATTTGTTATTTTGCACCGTGCGGAGCCAACCCAACCTAGCTAAGGTCCAATATGTTTCCAATAAGTGACCTGGATGACTGTAGTAAACAGGCTTTTCCAGCCAGAGGCCACACATCCTTTGGGGTACTCTCATACCTCTAAGCAGGCTAAGCGTGGGAGCTAAGGAAGGTTTAAAGGTGGTCAGGGAGGGGAATGAGCATCAAAGCAGGGGAGGAGCATTGAGATCCTGAAAGGAAAGAGAATTGAAGGCTGGTGAAATCTCAGCTGCAGGGCAACTCATGCCTAGGATCATGGTGTTTGAAAGTACGGGTGGGAGGGTCACATGGATTCAAAGCCAGGCTGGGTTACAGAGTGAACTACTGTCAAAAGAAAGAAAGAAAGAAAGAAAGAAAGAAAGAAAGAAAGAAAGAAAGAAAGAAAGAAAGAAAGGAAGGAAGGAAGGAAGAGAGAGAGAGACAGAGAGAGAGAGAGAGAGAGGAAAGAAAAGAAAGGAAGAGAGAAAGAAAGAAAGAAAAATAAAGAAAGAAAGAGAGAGAAAGAGAAAGAGAGAAAGAAAGAAAAAGAGAGAGAGAGAAAAAGAAAGGAAGAAAGGAAGGGAGAAAAAAAGAAAGAGAGAAAGACAGACTTTTATTTTATTGTTTGTTTATTTGTTTGTTTTTGAGACAAGATCTTGCTATTTAGCCCTGGATGGCCTGGATCTCACCATGTAGACCAGGCTAACCTCAGAATCATTCTGCCTTCTATCCCTTGTTTCCTGACTGCCTTTGCCTCCATGCACAGCTTGATCATCAGTAGCCCCCCACTTTTTAAAAATGTATATGAGTACACTGTACCTGTCTTCAGACACATCAGAAAAAAGCATTGGATTCCATTACAGATGGTTGTGAGCCACTATGTGGTTGCTGGGAATTGAACTCAGGACCTCTGGAAAAGGAATCCAGCCCCAATCATTACTACCTTTACTACTAACATATTTACAAATAAACTGATATAATTGCTGTGTTTTGCTTAAAAAATGGAGGTTGAGGATAAAGGAATAGACAAAAGATACCACCTGTAACTTAAAATTCACTGAAGCTGGATGCTACGTTCATAGAACTCTTCAAAAAATGTTTTTCTGTCTGTCTATCATCTAACATCTATCTATCTATCTATCTATCTATCTATCTATCTATCTATCTACCTACCTATTGAATAGGTGTAAACTCTCAAGTCATGGCAGTCAGAGGTTAGATTTCAGGAATCAGTTCTATCCTTCTACCATGTAGATTCCAGGGTTGAAGTGAGACTGTCAGGCTTGGCTGTAGTGCCTTTTCTTATTGAGCCTTCTCATTGGCCCCCTTCATGTAGTCTTATACGCTATAGTACACATATTCTTTTGCATTGAATACCCTTACAATTTTCTAAAATAACACACATACACACACACACACACACACACACACACACACACAGAGAGAGAGAGAGAGAGAGAGAGAGAGAGAGAGAGAGAGAGAGAGAGAAGCACTAACACCAGTCCACCATTATGAGGGTCCCACCTTTATGATCTCATCTAATGCTAATGGCCTCCTAAAGAATCCTACCTCTAAATTCCATTAACACATATTTGGAGATTGAGTTTCTACTCTGTGGGACTCTTATTCAAATCATTGCAAAGGGCAGAGCTGTTTCTTCATCCCAAGAGAAAGGCAAAGCCAGCATGGTAGCTGCTAGGGAGTGCCTGTAGTCTCAGCTACCCAAAAGGCTGAGGCAGGACGATCCCTTAAGCTGGGAGTGGAGTGGAGTTTGAGGTCAACATAGACAATGCAGTGAGCCCTGGACTCAAGAGGAGACTAGAGGAGGGGAGACAAAAGGAGGGGAAGGGAAGGAAAGAGAGAAGGAGAAATGTGGGTTGAGCTTGCCTATGTGTTTTCTGAAAAGACTTCCCAGAGCAGGGCTGCAGTAATGGCTCTTCCTTCATACAAAGGTGCCTGAGTTAGATCCCCAAGACCTACGGCGGAGGGAGTGGGGCTCACTCCCATCTTCTGACTTTTTATTAAGGGTATGTGCACAAGCACGCATACACACACACACACACACACACACACACACACACACACCAGTTTTTATTTTTAAATTGGAAAAAAAGCCTTCGTGCTACCAGGAGCCAGGGCCTGAGTGATCTCTTTTCTAAGCACCTCGTTACCTCCTGTATGGGATTTTCTTCTAGTTCTCTCTTTTGTTAAGGTGTGGCCCTTGGCAGAGGTCCAGCTTTGAAAAGGGCTCTCTAATCTTCCTCTTGGCTTTGAACTGGAGTCTTTATAGGATTCCAGGCTCAGGGTCCATCCTCTAGCACCTGGGGCCAAGGAAGCCTCAGCTCCAGAGACAACTCTCCAGTTTCTGCTGCTCCTACACGGCCTGCCCTCTCCTGATTTTTGTTAGTTTGTTTGTGTGTGTGTGTGTGTGTTTTGTTTTTGTTTTTCTTGTCTTTGTTTCTCCTTTTGCCAGCTCACCCAGGCTTTCTGAAAGGTGGAACACTCCAATGGGGGTGGGGGTGGGGAATAAGAATTTCCTTATTCCTGCAAAATTTGAATGAATACATAAATTGCTCAGTTTCCCTATTTTTCCCTAAGGTATCCCCTATCTGGAACTTGGGGCAGAAAAATCAGGACAGAGCTTGGAGAGTTCCTCTACCCATTTCCAGTCAGGAGCTGGGAGGAGGAGCCGTTTATAAATTGGGAAGAATATTCCAGATAAATGAGTCCTTAGTGGCAGAACTGAAACTCCAGGATGAGGGAACATGGAGAGACCTGTTCCAGCCAGCTGAGAGAGGAGGCTGGGTTGGAGCAAAGAGCATCCTGCTGAACTTGAATCCTTGATTTTCCCGTGTGGATGTTCCCTCTCCCTTGCAGTCAGGGCCGCCTCTATCTCAAGCTGGCCTAGAACTCTGTGTAGCTGACCATTGTGCTTGTGATTTCCCTGCTTCCAGCACCGGCGTGCTGGATTACAGGCATGCCCCACCATGCCCAGCCTTCTCCCTTCAGTGGCCCATGTCCTTCTGTACAATCTCAGATGAATGCTTTGCAAATTCAGTTAGAGTGAGCAAGCTGGTTGGCTAGTACACCCCACATTCTCCTAGCCCTGCCTTGTTTTTCTGGTGCTATTGGGGAAGGGGCTGTTTTCTTCTATTGATAAGTCCAGCTCCAAAGCAACAAGTAAGCTTGGGTGGCTTTCCCTGGGGTGGCAGCTGGCTGGGATGCCAGCCAAGTTGCCTTTTGGTCTTCTGAGGGGAAACCAGGGTACAAGTTGGGGCGAGGGGCTGAAGAGAGGTGGGGCTCAGAGGTCTTCAAATGTCTGCCAACAGATGTGCCCACCTCTACTACCAAATGTCTTTTCATTGAAAAATACAACTTGAGGGCTGAAGGTGTAGCTCTGTTGGGAGAGGGCTTGGCTAGCACTCATGATGCCCTGGGTTCCATCCTCAGTACCACATAAACTGGATAGGGTAGTACACATCTGTAATCTTAGTGCTTCAGAGGATGGAGGCAGGAGGGGCAGAAATTCAGGGTCATCCGCAGCTACAGAGTGAATCTGAGATCAGCCCGAGATACATGAGACCCTGTCTAAAAGCAAAACAACACAATCAAGTTGGATAGCTAGGCAGGGTAGTACAGCTGTACTAGCAGTTCTGAGGAAGGTGACATGGGAGGATCACAGAGACTGGGATTCTACGCCAGCCTGGGCAACAAAGTGAGACTCTGTCTCCAAATAAGTTAATACACACATGATTTGAATGATTCCATTCAACACTGTATTCTTGGCACTGGAGAGATGGTCCAGCTGTTAAGAGCATTTGCAGCTCTTTCAGAGGACTGAGTTCAGTTCCTAGCACCTACAGGGAGGCTCAGAACCATCTGTATCTCCAGTTCTAGGGGACTTGATGCCCTCTTCTGGCCTCTGCAAGTACTACATGCACAAGATACACAGACATGCATACAGGCAAAACATCTATACACATAAAATAATAAAATATAGATAACTATGGGGCTGGAGAGACATCTCAGTGGTTAAGAGCACTTACTGCTCTTTCAGAGGACCCAGATTTGCTTCCCAGCACCCACAAGGCAGCTCACAACACTAGTTCCAGGGGGTTCAATACCTCTTCGGATTTCCAAGGTTCCTGTTTTCACGAGGCACACATATATACACCCACATACATACGTACATACGTACGTACGTACATATACACATAAAATAAAATAAAACATATAAAATAAAATATTTTTTAAGAATCATATACATGGCGGTTAGCAAATTTTGGAGAAATTTATTCAAATAGTGTCTGGCCAGGATTTCTCCCTCTTTAGAGTTTTCTATTGATCCCAGAATAAAGTATTACCCATTAAGTGGCTTAAAAGCAGAGAAGTTTTAGCCTCATGTGGTGGCACATGCCTCTAAACCCAGTACGTGGGAGGTGGAGACAAGCAGAACTCCGTGAG